TAAAAACATTATTCGTTGATTTATTTAGTCACATGAATTTGTAGGTACATGATGTACCTAGGAACATGAATGTATGCGCAAAATATGTTTAACAAGCTGTCTCTCTCTCTCTCTCTCTCTCTCTCTCTCTCTCTCTCTCTCTCTCTCTCTCTCTCTTCGTATTGCTTTCTTTTGCTTTTTTCTCTCATCTTCGATTCGATTTAAGCTATTCACGACGGAATAATATTTTCAGTCTAGACGCAGGCGCACTGAGTAATTTGAATTATTTCTCTTTTCGCTCCTCGTCGGGTTCTAGAAGTTTCAAATATGATAAATTAATAAACATTAAATATTTGATTAGAAATTAAATTTTTTTCTTTAAATGTATTCTCTAAATTGCTTGGAGTAAGATCTTACTTCAAAAAAGTTAAAATACTATCACTATTAAAGAAGAGAGAAAAATTTGCACTCTTGAATAAGAATGATAGATTTTCACTCTTTTTTTTTAAGATGACATTCCTTTCAAAGGAAAGAAAGCTCATTCTTTTTTTGGAATAAATCTCATTTCAAAAGTGTGAAATCACTCCAAAAAAAAATGTGTGAAAATCTGCCACTTCTATTTAAGAGTGCAAATTTTTTCGTTCTTTTTCAGTGGCATTTTTTTAACTCTTTTGGAGTGAGAGGTTCACTCCAAGAAATTTAAAGAATATATGATAATAGATGGAATTTTTAAATTGGAATAATAATTCTACCTGTACTCGTGCACTTTAAATCTGGCTGGTGTGCAAGTGTGCTGCTTCGAATACAGACCGGCTAAACATCTGGACGGCTCTTTTTTATCTCGTAGAAGACAGGTTTCCGTTTCATTTCCCGGACACGTTCCAACGCATTGACCGACGTTTATTTGCTGTCAAAAATAACAGACAAAATAGAAGGGACAAAAAAATATTTTTAAAAAAATTCGAACAAAGCCGCAAAATAATGTATGTACACCATCGACGTAAAATCCTTATTCTCTGCAATCTCTAACAATTAGTTATCGAATATATATTTCATACTCGGATCACAGGTCTCACGTCAGTCGTATTTGTACCCTCTTTGATCGTCACCTCGCTGTAATCCAGCACAGTTTCCATGTGGTCCATTCGATAACAATGACCGGCACAACCGCATTTCTCGACTACTTGGTAAATCTCGTCACCTTGAAAATGACACAATTTTTAATTCAAATATATTTATAAATGACTCTGATTTTTAGACTTTTATTCTCTGTAACCTTTAATGAAAGTCTCGACATTATTATTTTCGTTGTAACGGAATTTAGTTATATTTATCGTTATTGTTACATTTTTCATAAAACTTGCATGCACAACGACAATGTAACAACATTGATACTGTCATTAAGAATTACAAAATGGAATATCTTAATCTTATGTTTATTTTACGTACCATTTGGCCCTTTGGCGCTGATTGTGTTATTCCGGACCGGCTTGCAATCCAGATCTTGAAAGACATATAAATAAAACGTTAATTTTAATTTTCCCATAAAAATTTTTAATTATACATAAAAGTGAATAAGATAGATAAAGAGAAAATCATAAAAAATATTAGAGAATCAAAATATTTGAAATAACTCTGTTGCTGAAAACAATGCACGCAAAGATAATCGATCGTATTTCTTTTTATGATGCTCCAGTCGTGATTATCTTTATGCGATTAGTTCACCAGCCACCTTTAGTCACGACTTGGAAAATTCTTACGAGGTTGATACCTTTGATGCAATGACCGATGCAAACTCCGATGTCCACGACTGCTTGATGCGGCGTACCGGAATGTACATAATGGATATAGGATTCTCGTCTGCAGGACGTTTCTGGCGAGCAATCGCAAGCATCTATAGCCTCGATTACGCGAACTCCCTGCAATGTAGACACTCGCTCCAGCTTGGCGGCTCTCGCGCGACAATGGAAATCCGATGAACATTTCTGAAAGACAAGCAGAAATATTCGTGAACAATTATATGAAAAAAGAGAACACATTCTGTTTTAAAACATTGTAACATTGCAATAAAACTGGCGCGTAGGTTAATTCTTGAATCCATAATTTTCTTTGATGATGAATTTCGATCATGTTCAATTGAATGTTGTTGAAAGACTCTTAAGGTATCTCAAAAAATTGTCGAAAAAAAGAAAAGGTTTTGAATATCACAAAATAAAAAAAGAAGTAAAGATTTCTTATACATCCAGGATTTAACATACGCTGCTAAAGCCTATTCTACAATGTGCTCTTTGTTTCCTATTTCTTGCTTTTTGCCTCTTGCTCTTTCCCCTTTGCAACCGTTTTATTGACAATTGTATTTCTTGCTACGTATTTTCTGTTTCTTCCGAAGTTCGTTAACTTTTATGTCTCAGGCGACATAAAACAAAAAACCAGATAAGAAGCTAAAAGACAAGAAGGAAAAAATTGCAAAAAGCAAGAAATAGAAAAAAACAAAAAACATATTGTAGAATAACCATAATAGTTCGCTAACTAATGAACTGCTTCATCATTTTAGCATAAAAAAAGAAAAATGGCTTTCGACTGTTTTACGATGGCTGTAATAAAGATACGCTCGCTATCGAGGATCATATTAGAATCGTTTCAATAAATCTTTCCCCTCGGCGACCGCCATCATCCATCCAGCGGAATCCAGCGGACGCATAATTCCGGGATTTAGTGGCTGGACACCTTTCCGACGCCGTCGAGAAGATCGGTGACCGCGGATGCCGATTCAACTTTTGAAGGACGCAAAACATATCGCCTTGATCGCCTTGCGTTTCGCGTTCAATAGCCCTCTTTCCCCGGTATTCCATTGGGTCCAGCCTCAATCCAGGCCATCATTTAGCACGGCTGCTGTAAAAGATCGTATCCGCGCCATCGACCGATCAGACCGATTGCGTCACGTAACGAATATAGCCCTCCTTCGACTGGCCGAAAAATCCGGAATATCATTTAGAAAGATATGAATATCGAAAAGAACGAGCAAGGAATCTATCCTACATAGGATAAAATTTTTTTACCCTTTCGATGATGGATTAAGATAAAATTTGACAACGAAGTTCATAATTGTCAGACGGAACTATTTATACCACTTGTGACTGAACGTATAAATGGTGAACCAATGATGCTAGACGGCAAGCATTTACAGCATGCTAAAAGTATGTTGAAAGGATTTTGCAGACTTTTCGTTTTGCTTGCAATCTAAACTTTACTTGTTAATCTAAACGAGATTGCGATTCCTCGTTGTCGATTAAAATCTTTACATCGACATAAAGTATGTTATGTCTTCCACATGATCGAAGCGAGGAAAAAGCTTCGTATACTGAAAGAAAAGATTGGCTGCCGCAGCAAATTAGATGGTAAAATATGACGCTTTTTTAATTGATTGCAGTAGCCAATTTTTCATTGCATTAGCTTATTAGCAATGTTAGTATAGAATTTCGATAGGTTAACTAAAAATTGACTGCAATAAATTAAAAATGCTATACTCAGCCATACTCGGTCAATCTTTTCTTTCGACCAGCGGTGACTTACCTGCACCGCTGGTCGACTAGCATCCCCAGGATCGTCGGAAACGTGTCGCGGACATAACTTTCGGCAGTGTCCAGCGTCGATCTGGATAACTTCCCCGGATATTCCTACAAAACCAAATCGATCCATGTTAGACATATTTTTTTTGCAGCAAAAAACATGATAAACAGATCGGTATATATGACATCGATTAGACATAACTTTCGAGAAAAACAGCGCGCAGATTTATTTAATGATATCGTTAAAAACTCTGGCAAAAATAAAAATCAAAGTGTAAAGCCCTGCGCACAATAGAAGGAATAAGGAATTAGGAATAAAGAATAAAAGATTTTAACCTATCAGAAATCAGATACATCGGAATACACGGTTTCTAAGAGTAATAGGAGCATTAATTAACAACGTTTTTAGAAGGCGAAAATTGAGACAACGAAATATAAAGATGTTTGAGCTTTCCTTACGTTTCGTTGTCTCGATTCGACTTACTTTTAATTTTTATTTTCGCCAGAGTAAGTAAAGAGAAAGGAAGTCTATAAGAAGAGGTGACGCGTTTAGGGGTGGGCAATTAAATCGCTGTATGTGTACAACTCTGTTATTTTTGCACATCTGGGACTCGGAATGCAAGAGTATTTGTCATCAACGTCGTGAGGGTTTACGCGATTTATCGCGTTATGTTACATACGAATAAAAATATGACTATGAGGATTTCGAGAGAAATGGAACGGTTGTCGTCCAAAGTAAGCGAATTGGGGGAAGATCGTTTGATGGAAGGCATATGGTGTTCTAATTGAAATATTAATTTTGATTAAAATGCTGGCGGGTCATCTCCTTCTTCATAAGCGATCAAACGTCGCCGTTAAAGCCAATAAATTGAGAGAATCCGACGCAGTCGACGCGTGATGCAAAATTTCGATTCTAGACGAATGAAAATATTTTATCCAGTCGCGCGTGAATGTTTAATCGTATTACTCATTGTTTTTCTCCTAAGTGCGCTGTTAAATTCATAATTCCAAATTATATCAATTTGAGTTACTTTTAATCATTTCTATAAATCGCCACAGTTCCTAATCAATATGTCGTTGATCTGAATAAAACAATGAAGTTAAGTTAACTCAAGACAATATATTTAGTTTGACTCAAATTTAGTTTATTATTTACTAAGTATATACATACTACGTTAATACGAATACGTTGTTTACTTTGAAACTAATAGATCACAAAATAGATTTATTTACACACAGCGACCGAATATTCTGTTCTTTTCCCCTTAAAACACGAAGTATCAATTCATTGTGATGTACACACGAATGAGTCGTACCTTTCTAACTGTGAATCATTCATTAATATATTTTGCTCAAGTTTCCTTCTCGAATATTGCATTTTCTTTCTTTCTCTCTTTTTTTAATATACATTAGATTGATATCTATAGTTAAAAGCAGAAACGATTAAGAAATAATCTTTTAATTTAAATGCTCACCATATCCAACTTCGATCATCTTTTCATGTCGGGCGCAGCACGTATGCTGTCGCGATTCTTCTGAATGCATTTTTCCTTCATTTCCCGATTCCTTCTCGCAAAAAGCTAAGCAATAAAAATCGAGGCGATCACAAGTGGAACTTAACCGATGAATTTAAAATTTATGATCGGAATTAGATGGGAGTTAGACACTCCTTAAATGATGTGATATTAATGACATAAAATAGGTCTATATCTGGTCGATTTAAACAAAATTAAAAACTAAAATTCTAAATTTTAATTTGGACTCAAAATTTGAGGATGCACAATTGAAATGAAATCGCGTCTTGCAGAGACTACTCTTTTTGAAGCAACAATGGAAATTGGTGTAATTTTGGTAAATTCGATTTTTCGTTATGTGCTTCTCTTTTGCCAAACAATTCTGTCATTGTGAAAGAAACAAAGATTATTACGCGTAGCATCAAGATTTTAACTCCTTAAAATTTCATTATTATTATTAATAAAATGTTTATAAAAATTCTAATTATTATACGTATTATACGTATAAGAAAAGTTGTAAATTGAATTTCATATCTAAGAGTAAAGCCAGATTTTTCGTCTCATACGTCTTTTATTAGAGATTATTCGAAGAATTATTAAAAATTTCATCCTTAAAAAGTCGAAAATATAAATGCTGTTTTTTTACTCTCTAAATTTTGTAGAGTGGAATCTCACTCTAAAGAGTGAAATTTCTTAGAGGTTCAAAATCTTTTTGAAGAGTGGCAAAATTTTTATTCTTTAGAATGAGAATTCATTCCAAAGAATTTAAAATGTATATTCTATAATTCTGAACATTTGTAGAATTTATGTACAATATATGTGTATGTATTTGTAGAATTTATGTACAATATATGTGTATGTATGATCGCTGTGCTCTGACGGATGAGAGGAAAACAAAATGGAGAAAAAGGGAGAGGCTAATCAATAGCGTTACCTAATCGCAAATTAGCCACGCAAACAATGGCGAAACCAGCGAGGACGGTCCATCGTCCCCTCATGCTTTGTACACGCATATCGATACCGATTACCGAAGATGACAAATGCGGATAACAAATCGGGAATATTCACCGACGAAAAGGAAAGACCGATCACCTCGTGATCTCTCTCACGATCGTGTTGCGAATCACCAGAGGATGGTTTTGAAGTATCCGGATATGCGATATCGCTGCTTTTTTTCAAAGAATACGGCAGATACGCGAGAATAAGTTGGCAAAGATGATAGTTGGATCCCGGTCGAAGGATCAGTATCGGAAGTTTTTATGAAGGATCGATCACGTATCGAGCTCGTGCTGCCTTGCAATCTGCGAGAAGACTGGTCGTCTGCAATAGCCGGCTGGGAGATGTCCGGCTGACAGCGGCGGATCTCTATTAATCTCATTTGGTGAATGGGACCCGCCTCGTGACGGACCGTCCATCATAGTCTCTTGCCGACCCGGTCATCGTCGACGATCACTCGATTTTACGCTCGCGAACGTACGTTCCGATTGGCCATCCCGGATATTTTTCGTTTCTTATACCTCTACAGATGATCGTAAGATGGAACAAAGAATCTCGTGAAGGAATAACTCTGATTCGTAGTTAATGATTGTCGGGATCTTTCGTTTTTTTCTTTACCGCTCTATATATTTAGCGCAGCCATGTTTTACCGGTTCAGTGGAACGTACACACATATAATTTATTTTCTACCATAATAAGTCATTATCTAAGTTTTAAGTGTTAAGAAATTAACCAATCATAATCGATTATTCTTCTCAGATTCGACTATCATTTTTCTTATTGAGTAAATATTTATTTACTGTAAATAAATGTTTATTTAATTATTGTTTAAAGAAATATTCCAGACAAAAAGTGTTTAAAATCATATCATTTTTTTTGCGTTTAAAAGACGATTTAAAAATCATATCATAATTTTAGACTTTTTGTTGTTTGGGATGTATCAAGATTTAATAAATTTTTTCTAGCGTACTGAACGCAGTCATTATCTTCTATTATTGATTTCTTGGAACGCAATCTGAAATCATCAGAACGCGTGATTATTCCTCGAATTCGCAATAGTTCAGTATGATTTAATAGAAGAGGATTTAATAAGAGGATCTTTCTTGATTAGATATCTGTCCTATTCTGAAACAGATATCTAATCAATATCATTTCACATAATAAAACCATTACATAAAAGATAATATCGTTTATAATCTCGTTTTCCTGGTAGAACCTTTCGTAACTTTCTTTCGACTCTTTCCGTTCTCTTAATGATATTTTTGTTACGAGAATTCAGGGCAAAGAAGAAGCAGGACATAGCAGAAAAAGGATCCAAAAAGGACTATTTGTCCCTTCTGCTTTTTGTTGCGGCTCAGGGGAAGCGAGAATCATTCGTCCGGTTGCAGCATCATCGCATCTGATCACATGGGGAGATCTCTTGTCCTCCTTCCCTGCCCTCCGCGCTCGTTAACATCCGCGTTACCGTCAGGATCGTTGAGAGATTTGCGCGAGAGAGGTCATTATCATTATCCATAAATTACCGCGCGCGCGAATCTCAATTTCGTTCACCGCAACCCGCCGGAGAGAGCTTAGGGGAGAGGACATTATTCGACGAAATCGTGCAGTGGTGTACAGAACGTTGATACAAAGTGGAGAAAAGGAAGAGAGAATGAAAGACGAAATTTTATCGTGAATTTGCTAAAAAAAATGTACCAGAAATATAGACAGTTAAAAAAAATAAATAGATAAAAGTACATTCTTTGTCAGATTTTATTGGAATAAAAAATAGGATGTTTCATTTAAAAAAATGAAGTTCCACTTTGAAATATCCGAAATATCCTCAGTGCGTCCATCCATCAAATAATTATTTCCGTTATGCGATATCTCTCTTTGTATTGAACATGTTAGTGTAATAAATTTTCCATATGTCTTCAAATTTCACTAATAAATAAACCGGTCACTTTATACGAATCACTCATATAAAAAAAATGCAGCACAAAAAATTGATGAAAAAAATTCTTAGTTCTACTATATAATAATTTCTGTCTCTCACATTTTTTTTGTTAAGTTGAAGAATTTGAGAAAAAAATTGATTGAAGACCAGTATTCGGCAATTTTTAATAATTAATATCTTGTCAATTAGTGTGAAAATTGGTACAGCAAAATAGTACAGGACTTTTCGACTCCGACTTTTCTAATCCGATCTATTTACACAAGAGTGTTTGGTAAAACATTTCGGGACACCCAATAAATATATGAATGAAAAACATATATTATTAAAGCGCCATGGACGCGCCTTGAAATGAAGTTTTCACTATCAATAACAATACAGAAAACAAAATAAAATTTTTGTTATAATTTAAGATTGGCCGAATATTTTTGTTTTTTATTCATACTGATTGGATGAGTAGTTTTTCTCAGAAAAAAAAATTGCAAAAGTAGTCATTTTTAAGTTTAGATATTTTTTATCTCAATAACTATTGATTTAAACAAAAAAGTCACATAAAAAACGTCTATTTTGATTCAAGTAAGCTTACAGAATTTTTTCAGAATTTTTATTCAAAGTTTAGATTTTTTAAACAAAAAATTGTTTATCCAATGAACATAAAAAATTGAAGTGTATACAGATGTTTTTTTGCAAAATAATATGAGGAATCGAATGAAATCATTTTCAGCTATTAGAACGTTGATTGGTCGGTTAATGAACTTTTTAAGCAACCTTTTCGGAATAAACCGCTCATCTATGATTAAATTTCATTGTCTTTTCATCTTGGCAGAAAATTTTTCATGAATATATGTACAAATATGTATAAATATTTTTAAATGTGCTTAAATATTCATAAATGTATATCCTTATATTTGAAATAATCATTCATGTTTATTCTTTTTTTATAAAATTCTTTTTCATAGAGTAATAATAATAGTAAATAATAATAATAA